CTTGAGAGCCAAGCCAAAAGCTTTATACATTTTCCTAAACTGGGTCATCAGATGACTTGACGAGTGGCTCCGAGCTCTCCTTGCTGATGATTTTAGGGGTGATCACTGCTTTCTTGCCATGATACAGCACGTAATGTTGACCCATGAATAGAAGGTCAAAGAATATAGATATCTGAAACAGTAAAAACCATCCATGTATGAGCATCTTATAGCTCCATAACCAATTCAATTTGAGACAATCTAGAAAATGTGTCAATTGTTTGATATAATTCAAGACATTGCTATGAATGAATCCATACCAAAGACAGCAGTGTCTTCCCTATATGTCCATAGAAGTTCACCAAAGAACCTGGAAAGGTGCACAAGTTAGAAACACAATTTAGCATGAAGGATGTTATGAAACTGCAAATATCATTCGATGCACAAAAACAAAAAGGTGAGAATCTTACTTGAAAATGGAAATCAACCAAAGCCAAGAATGACTTGGCAAAGCTAAGAAAACACAAACTGCAGTACCTAACCACACGGCAGCAACAATTGCAATGGAAATCTTGGAGACCTTCTGATTTCCATGCTGCATAAAGCCATCAGCAAAAGGTCAAATATGAAACTTTTCGTGACAAAGTGACTAACATCAGGATAGTGAACCTATTAACACGATTTTAAATCATAAACTCGAGACACTTACTTCATAGATTGCAATTTGGTATAGGGTAATTGCTGTCAGTAAAACAGCATGAATAGAGAAAGCAACATCGTTTGCTGCAACAGGTATCATCTGCAATTATAGCACAAAATAGATGAGTACTTCCAAATACACATATAACAAATCATCAACTCAATCTCTTCCATACATCCTTCCTTTTAAGACGCACACACTATATTAAACAGTTATAAACTATAATCCCTCTTCAGCTGATGGAGTTGTCGTCAAAGTATTGAGATTACAATCTACACGTATCATATTTCATGCAAAAATTATGTGCTTAAAAACCTAAATGACAAAACACACCTGAAACACTAGCTTTCTGATATATAAAGTTGTTACGGCCTTGAAATCCAGTGTACCATAAATGTCACAAATCTCCAAGTGCCGAAAATAACAGCTGCTATCGAGTTACAACTAAAACTGCTACATATTACATTCCTTATCTAACTTAATACTTGTATCAATATATAAGCAGAGCTTATTAAAACATTTGCCAATCCCCCAAGAAAAAGCATACCCATATGCAATAATTCTAAACTTTGCTATTGGAAACCAAGAACACAGCACTGGGAATGAAAATGATCATAAAAAGAAGTGGCTAGGCTGGTAGGGAGGGGAACAAACCTGTCCTAAGCCGTACTTCTCCAAGTACTGCTTTTGAACGGCATAGCTGAAGTAGAGAGTGGCATTGTAGATGAGATAGGAGGAGTGCTTTGTCAAATTTAACACCACGAAATCGAAGTTCAACCCCACAACACTAATTCAAAGGCCCACCGGCCACCGCCATCCACCAAAAACTATTTTAGATAAAGAAAGAATCTTTGAATTGAATTCAGCAGAAAATCGAGGTGTGAAAAACCAAAGTGTTTGTGGGATGACATAAATGAATACCTTTTCCTCCGGAAATTCAAGATGACAAGTGTACCTTCTGGAAACAACTATACCATTTATCCTACAACTCCTGCTCACCATCTACATCCATCTCAAACTTACTCACAGAGTAAAATTTTGGGGTTTCACACTCCTCGCAGTCAATTTCCACCTGGTTCTTGTCAATAGAAGAAGGAATAGGACTCTGATACTCATGCTCAGTATCAATAACCACCAGCCTCTTCTCAAAAGAGGAACCTTTTGGACTTTGACACTCTCTCGGAGAGTCATGTTCTGCCGGACTCCTTTCGGCAGAGGAATCTTTTGAGCTTCGACAATCGCCTTGCACATCAATATCCAATCTAAATGACGTTGGAAGTTCATTGTATAGTCACTCTCTTCTTGTGGATGACTTGATATATCAGGCTCACTACAACCCATCCACCTTCATTAGGGAGGGAAGAGAAAAAGGAAGGAAAAACAAAAAATTCAGGAAAGATTCAATTTAATAGCCCTAAAAACGAGCCATTATTCACCATAATAAATAAATATCCCATAAAAACAAGCTACTTACAATTATGCAGCACATCAAATTATCATATCTATAACAGCTAGGATTATTTCGACTGATATTCACAAGTAACTCAAAAGGGCAAAACAACGAGCTACGCATGCTATCTTTACTGATACACATAGCTTCCACCATATCAATTGGGTGGAAAAAGGGACGAAAAATTGATACTTGGCAATTGAAAGGGTGAGCTTAGAAATGACCAAATTAGAGCTTTAGCCCTCAGATAAAAATACACATGGGTCAGAGTCCTGCATGCCCTGTTCTTCAACCACCATATGAATGCCAGAAGAAGAAAAAAATCAATTATTGAAAACAGGAATGCAATTATGCAATGCACCATTGTAGCCAGGAATGAAACAAGGAACGCTGGAAGATCAGAAAGACCAAAGCTTTCATTATAATTCTCAATGAAAAAAGTAACCAGTATAGCACCAAACATGCAAGAGAACCCATTACTCCAGACCAGAGAGAGAGAGAGAGAGAGAGAGAGAGAGTGAGACGGAGAGTGAGACGGAGAGAGGGCAAACCGTAAAGAGTGAAAAGGGGAAGAAGAGGAAGGGAAACGGGGAAAAATTCTGCTGCTTTGAGGGTGCAAAGTTCTTGGATGCTCCGGTGGGATTTCAACGAACCAGATATTTCTGATATTGTGGTCTATCAGGCAGAGAGCAACCGGAAAAACTGTAGAGTCTTAGGGCTTTCGTCTGAGCTCCATTCGGTTTCAGAGTGACTAACTGGTGGGAAAACTTGGAAACAGAGTGCGGACTAGTTTTCTCAACCCGTCTCTTGACGTGGCAGTTGGTCATTGGTTTTGCAAAATGACTCAGCCTAAGGTGCTGTTCGGAAATGAAATACACATATCATTGAGATTCTTTTCTATTCATTTGGGTTTGATTTGCTTAAACTGAATTAGATTGGTGGCCAAATTCTAATGAGAATATTGTCAAATATTTTTTGAAGAAAATCGGTTGTAATTTATTGAGGACAAACAGAGTAGAGTTAAAATTCCAAACTAAAGTCAAGAAGATTTCGTGAGTATCTATACACATAAGAGTTCGGGCATTAAACTAATAAAATAGCTTACTTTCCTTCCTCATTGCAATCAAAAGAACTCTCACTCATAATGAAGCACCCCCGACTCCAAATAATCCTTAGTCATAGACTCACGGGTCCGCAACAAGTACATCAGAAATATAATCAGACGAAGAAAAAAAAGCAATATTGTCAAATACTGATAAATAAGATTATCATCATTTCATCATCATTATTATTAACTTGTACATCAAAATACAAAGCAGAAGAAAAGAAGTTGACTTCAATCAGCGTTGTTCAAACCACAATCACGTTTGTGGCACTAAACACCAACCTTCATCTTCCTCAATTGGATCAATCACATATTCCTCATTAAAGAAACCCATCTCTTCATAATTACCATCCTCCTCAACCTCATCAAAATCCACCCTCGCATCATATCATGATCATGATCATTTCTATTATCATAGGCTCCACTCACTTGCATAACCATTGATTTCATCATCTTCTTCTTCATCATCATCGTTGTTATCATAATCACTAGTAGACAGATGATCCAAAATCCCCGTGGCAGAAGACCCGGAAAAATTGACCAAACGATGATTGGATAAGACGTCGGATGACTTGAGCTTGTGGTTCCCTTTGGTCTTGTCCTTGGTCTTAGAAGCCGGGTAGATGTGACACTCGGTGCACCTGGGCTTGCCGCACTTACCCGTGAACTTGGAATGGTTGGTCGGCTTGGTGGCCACCTTGGTGAACAACCCCGCTGTAGGAGGTGAATCAAACTTATTCACGTGTCGGGTTCCAGGTCTCGGGTTCAATGGGTCGGGTAGGACCCGGTAAGGCCGGAACATCCCGTGCTGGCGACCCTCGCTCTTCATTGTTGACAAATGGAGCTGTGGGCTTAATGAAAGATTGAAAGAAGGATGAATGATGGAGGTGTTAGGTTCTCATTATATAGTGTTGCTTGTGGGAATGAAAACTTGGGAAGCACGGTCTTCGGTTGGGAAGGTCCAAATTCTTGTGGACCAAGCCGAAAAATAATTCAAGATTGACGACTCATCTGTTGAGATATAGGAATGATATTATAGGTGGGTACGGTTATGTGGGAGTAAAGTAATACTAGGTAAGAGAAGAAACTTGTTCTCTGGTGATAAAAGACAGAAAGTAGTGGGACACTATTTTAGATATTGATGATGTTCCTTGATTGATACAAAATGAAGAGAAAATGGTGGCTTTATATAATAGCCACTACCGACCTAGCACATTAAAAATACAGCTAGAACCAAACATAGTTAATTCAACTAAATTCTACCACACCATTATTTTAACCCACAACTACTACCAGCCAATTATTACTATTTTACCAACCGACTATTAATGAAGTCTAGATTATTTTTAACATCATCAAGATAAAGAATTTTTTTCGCATTAAAAATCTCAGTTGATGTTTTTTCCCTGGGCTCCTCCACAGCAGAAAAACTTATCTGTAACGAGGATAACACTTTTTGCTATCCCAGGTCAATGACACCATGATACATAAGATAATTTTTCACGTGTCATTGTGTTATTAGACGGAGATAGGAAAATAGTGTCATCCCCATTGCATGAAAGTCTTTCTCCCTTCACAGAAGTCTAAAAGTTCAGGTTTTTTAGTAACCAATTAAAGAAATCCATGCGTTACGCTTACATGAGGGAAGGAGTTTCTGTGCATCAGGCTTTCTCAGAACTTGGCGCCGGCGATCATAATCAAAAGTTAAAAACCAACCAAACTTAAAAGCTTACAACATCTTCCAAAATTGAGTGAGTTTGAGGGTCTGTTTGGAAAATGTAAAAACCTATCTTTTTATTTCTTACGGATCCTCTAGTAAAAGTGGTATGCAAACATATACTTTAATTGCATACACTGTTGCCTACTTTTAATGCTCCAAATAAATGTTTTTTCCTTCTTCTTTTTCCCTGTACACAATGTTATACAACATGCTTTTAGGTAAAATAACCTGCAGAAAAAGTTTGCTAATTCTTACACCGACGATGTGAGCTAATATCTATCACACATCTTGAGAGCCAAGCCAAAAGCTTTATACATTCTCCGAAACTGGGTCATCAGATGACTTGACGAGTGGCTCCGAGCTCTCCTTGCTGATGATTTTAGGGGTGATCACTGCTCTCTTGCCACGATACAGCACGTAATGTTGAACCATGAATAGAAGGTCAAAGAATATAGATATCTGAAACAGTAAAACCCATCCATGTATAAGCAACATATAGCTCCATAACCAATTCAATTTGAGACAATCTAGAAAATGTGTCAATTGTTTGATATAATTCAAGACATTGCTATGAATGAATCCATACCAAAGACAGCAGTGTCTTCCCTATATTTCCATAAAAGTTCACCCAAGAACCTGGAAAGGTGCACAAGTTAGAAACACAATTTAGCATGAAGGATGTTATGAAACTGCAAATATCATTGGTTGAGGAAGTGATGATGAACCTTGATCTATAGATTGCACAGCCATTTGTAAATAATTTGCCACCCCTCCGGAAAAATCAAGTAAAATGTTACCAATACTGAATCCATCTGTGCTCTTTCGCAGGAAGTTCATGACCGCCTATATTTAGAAAGGCTTTGTATCAACACAGGCTTACTGCTTTTTCATGACAAAATATTAAGCAGATAAAAATGTCCATTCAACAGTAACAGTTCCTTTTCTTTTTCTTCATTTCCTAAGCATCCTATAAGAACAGATAACACCTCTACATTAAATGCATAGCAAATGTATAAAGCCTGCGACCATTTTTCATAGCATGGCTTGGGCAATGAATTCAGTATAGGAACACAAAATATTTCAAAGGGGCTAAATACTGACCTGGGGAATATATTTGATGACTGTCATAAAAACTTGAATCGAGCTGCAACAAAATTAAATGAAATGATGTTAGAAAGAGAATTTTACACAAACACAACAATCACTTAATAAAATAATAGCAGTCCAAGACCATAATCACTTAATGGAAGTTCCAACATGTAAGTAGCCGACTTTAAAATGCATCTTAAAGCATTGATGAGAAGTCCGCCTTTCTTAATCAGCATTATAGTAATTTCAATTTTCCTAGTGAAAAGGCATAATTCTGGCCAGGTACTAGAGAGCTCATTGTCAACGCGAACTTATTAAGTAAAGATAGTTCAGAATCCACAACGACAGAACTTGATGTGGGAAAATTTTAAGAAAACTATATACAAAATACTAAATATTGAGGTAATTGAACATCACTCAGAACCTTAAGGACTTTTAAAGAAAACCTTCGGCAAAAATTAAGTGTTGGTCATAATTGTCATTGACAGTACATCAAAATTCAATGCACAAAAACAAAAAGGTAAGAATCTTACTTGAAAATGGAAATCAACCAAAGCCAAGAATGACTTGGCAAAGCTAAGAAAACACAAACAGCAGCACCTAACCACACGGCAGCAACAATTCCAATGGAAATCTTGGAGACCTTCTGATTTCCACGCTGCATAAAGCCATCAGCAAAAGGTCAAATATGAAACTTTTCATGACAAAGTGACTAACATCAGGATAGTGAACCTATTAACACGATTTTAAATCATAAACTTGGCAAAGAGGATCGAGACACTTACTTCATAGATTGCAATTTGGTATAGGGTAATTGCTGTTAGTAAAACAGCATGAATAGAGAAAGCAACATCGTTTGCTGCAACAGGTATCATCTGCAATTATAGCACAAAAAAAGATGAGTACTTCCAAATATACATATAACAAATCATCAACTCAATCTCTTCCATACATCCTTCCTTTTAAGACGCGCACACTATTAAACAGTTGATAAACTATAATCCCTCTTCAGCTGTTGGAGTTGTCAAAGTATTGAGATTAAAATCTACACGTACCATATTTCATGCGAAAATTATTTGCTTAAAACCTAAATGACAAAACACACTTGAAACACTAGCTTTCTGATATATAAAGTTGTTACGGCCTTGAAATCCAGTGTACAATATGTCACAAATCTCCAAGTGCCGAAAATAACAGCTGCTATCGAGTTACAACTAAGACTGCTACATATTACATTCCTTATGTAACTTAATACTTGTATCAATATATAAGCAGAGCGTATTAAAACATTTGCCAATCCACCAAGAAAAAGCATACCCATATGCAATAAATTAAAAAGATCTAAGCTTTGCTATTGGAAACCAAGATCACAGCCACTGGGAATGAAAATGATCATAAAAAAAAAGTGGCTAGGCTGGTAGGGAGGGAAAACAAACCTGTCCTAAGCCGTACTTCTCCAAGTACTGCTTTTGAACGGCGGAGCTGAAGTAGAGAGTGGCGTTGTAGATAAGATAGGAGGAGTGCTTTGTTAAATTCAGCACCACGAAATCGAAGTTCAACCCCACAACACTAATTCAAACGCCCACCAGCCACCACCATCCACCAAAAAACAAAATATTTTAGATAAAGAAAGAATCTTTGAATTGAATTCAGCAGAAAATCGAGGTGTGAAAAACCAAAGTGTTTGTGGGATGACATAAATGAATACCTTTTCCTCCGGAAATTCAAGATGACTTGTGGGTAGAAGCTGATGGACCAACTTATGAATGCCGCCCATCCCAGAACTTCGTATGTGATTTCCAGCGGAACTGAATTCCACGAAGCCATTCCTCCCTTCCAAAATTGCAATTGCGATTTCCCACTTGTCTGATAAACTTTGAAGAGAGGGGAGAAGACAGGAAGGAGAAGAAAGGGGCTTGCTTGCAATGACTTTTAAAACTTCAACTGTATCTATATATGTCTGCAATGTAATTGGCCCGTCCATCCAAAGTGGGCCATGGTGATGACGTGGACCGGCTTAGGGCTGTACACCTTGCTTCTGAATCTAGGACTCGATTGGTGCTTTTTCCTCCAAGTTTTGGCAAATTTCGTAACTTGGATTGGACTAGAATAACAGAAGAAGAAAGGGGGTGGGGTTTGAATTGAGACCATTACACGGCCATATGCATTGAGTTCCTGATCCTGATAAATATACTTATTGCTTTTTCTGCAGCCGTGCCCAGAGAGAGAGAGAGAGAGAGAGAAATAATCGATCGATAAAGGTTCAATTTTTAGTGAGGATACGTATAAGGCACCAATGCCATCATCCTACCTAGACCCCATCAAATTAAACTCGTTTGTGTCATTTCCCAAGCTAGCTAAAATATTATTCATGAACAAAGAAATTTCTTTGACCATCGTATCATTATTTATTCATGAACAAATTATGATTAACTTTATGTTGGTTTGATTTATTGGGATTTAATTATCTTTCGTGTTTCAATACACAAAATAAAATAAAAAATTTACCATTTGTGTAATTTGTTAAAGTTGACTGTATGTATGCCCAAATCAAAGGATGGAATTTATTTTTTTATATCTATTTAAGTTTTCGCCTCCAAACATATAATCCTTGTTTACATCTACATGTTTTGGGCAGGAGAGAGAAGCTGTCGTTTATGCATTTTCAGACAGTGTGAGTGGGTGATGCTGATGTAGAAGACTGGAGAAGTGGCTCCAAGCTCTCCTTGCTGATGATTTGAGGAGGAGGAGGAGGAGGAGGGATGGGTGCTTTCTTGGAAGGATACAGCAGGAAGCGTTGACACATGAAGAGAATGTCAAAGGATATAGATATCTGAAATAGTAGTAATAACCCATCAAATACCATAACGAATATATATACTGGATCGTAAAATAATTCTGTCAAACTGTCGATATCAGATCATTCGTACCAAAGATAGCAGAACTTTCCCCATATTTCCATAAAAGTTCACCCAAGAATCTGGAAAGCATGACATGAAGGATATTTGTTATCAAACTCTGACAATCATTTTGTTTGGTTGATGTTGGGGAAGAGAAGAGAGGATGAACCTTGATCTATAGAAAGCACAGCCATTTGTGCATAATTTGTGACCCCTCCAGAAAAATCAAGCAAGTAAAAGCCAATGCTGAATCCATCTGTGCTCTTCCGCATGAAGTTCATGAATGCCTACATAATGAATGGCATGCATGCTGTGTTTCAGTTCATGACTTTTAAAAGAAAAGAAAAAAAATCTAAACAAGATGAACAATTTAAGGTGAATTCAAGTCAACGCAAACCTGGGGAGTATATTTGACGACTGTCATGAAAACTTGAATTGAGCTGCAAAAGGGAATTTTACACAGATCAGATATCACAGAATAATAAATATCGACAAGGAGCCGCCTTGAAAATGCATCTTAAATTAAAGCATTGACAACATCTGGCTTAATCAACCCTCGACTTAATCTTAATGGAACAGACAGTTGAAAAAAGATGAAGCAGAATTAAATGGTGGCAATTTGGATCTTACTTGAATATATTGATCAGCCAAAGCCAAGAATGGGTTGGCAAAGCTACGAAAAAACAAACTGCAGCGCCGAACCACACGGCAACGACAATTCCGATGGCAATCTTGGACACCTTCTGAGTTCCTCGCTGCATAAAGCCATGCCATCAATTAACCAAAATGTCAGATGCCAACATATAAAACACAATCAAAATCATAATAAGCTTGGAAAAACAGAGAAAAACAGAGGTATGAATGAGATGAGGAGACACTAACGTCGTAAATTGCAATTTGGAACAGAATAATTGCTGTCATTAAAACAGCATGAGCTGAGAAAGCAACATCATTTACTGCTACAGGGATCATCTGCAATCACATCCACATCAAAAAAATCAACTTTTTCTTTTGGGTTTTGGTGAATGAGTAGGGAGGGAAAACTGAGAACAGAAGAAACCTGTCCGGACCCGTATTTCTCCCAGTACTGCTTTTGAACGGCGGAGCTGAAGTAGAGGGTGGCGTTGTAAATGAGATAAGAAGAATGCTTTGTCAAATTCAGCACCGCGAAATCGAAGCTCAAACCCACAACGCTGTAAATCAATTAAAAGTCTTGGAATTGAATTGAGTTCAGGAAAATTCGGTGAGGAAATAAATGAGTACCTTTTCCGGCGGAAATTCAATATGATTTGTGGGTAGAAGCCGACGGACCAACATGTGAAAGCCATCCATCCCATAACTCTGTATGTGATTTCCAGCTGAAGTGAATTCCACGACGCCATTATTTTCTCTCGTCTTCTTCTGCTCTTCTAAACAACCCTAACGGCCGCCGGTGACAGACAAATAGAAACAGAGAGACAGAGAGGGTGGTCTGTTTGCTTTCCTCTTCAGTTAACTGTAACTCGGACGTCCGTCCGTATCAGGTGGGCAATGTGGGCCCATGTGATGACGTGGACTATAATGATTTTTCTTTGTTCTGTATTTGGCCTGAAATCAGCTTATGATTAATTGTGGCATGTTTTGTAATTGTTTGGTATGTATAATGTACAACAGCATATTGTAGTGGAAGACAACCTTTGATTGGTAAGTTAGTCAGGGTAGTGTGCTCGCCTCAAGCAAGGATTCGGATTATCTGTTATGATTTTATGTGCCATGATCGGTTTGACTTTCGTCCTTCATATGCCACCTCATTAAAATTTTATTTAAGAGATTTAAACTGAGCATATCATCCTTAAAATAAAAACTCAACCTACCCCTAATTAAAAAGAGATTTTCTATTTAAACCCCACACTTCTCTTTGTTCACCCCAATACTTAAATCATTAAGCTGTAAGTTTTATTGTGTAAAAAGACAAAAAAAGGTCATCCAACTTAATAATTAATCCTAGTACATCTATATAGACACCCCACACACCCCAAGTGTTGGAATTCCAGTTCATAACTCTGTATGTGATTTCCAGCTGAAGTGAATTCCACGACGCCATTATTTTCTCTCGTCTTCTTCTGCTCTTCTAAACAACCCTAACGGCCGCCGGTGACAGACAAATAGAAACAGAGAGACAGAGAGGGTGGTCTGTTTGCTTTCCTCTTCAGTTAACTGTAACTCGGACGTCCGTCCGTATCAGGTGGGCAATGTGGGCCCATGTGATGACGTGGACTATAATGATTTTTCTTTGTTCTGTATTTGGCCTGAAATCAGCTTATGATTAATTGTGGCATGTTTTGTAATTGTTTGGTATGTATAATGTACAACAGCATATTGTAGTGGAAGACAACCTTTGATTGGTAAGTTAGTTAGGGTAGTGTGCTCGCCTCAAGCAAGGATTCGGATTATCTGTTATGATTTTATGTGCCATGATCGGTTTGACTTTCGTCCTTCATATGGCACCTCATTAAAATTTCATTTAAGAGATTTAAATTGAGCATATCATCCTTAAAGTAAAAACTCAACCTATCCCTAATTAAAAAGAGATTTTCTATTTAAACCCCACACTTCTCTTTGTTCACCCCAATACTTAAATCATTAAGCTATAAGTTTTATTATTGTGTAAAAAGACAAAAAAAGGTCATCCAATTTAATAATTAATCCTAGTACATCTATACAGACACCCCACACACCCCAAGTGTTGGAATTCCAATTACAGTTCTTGGAGAGATCTAGAAAGTATTAAATTTCGGGTTTGATGTTCCATTTGTTTGTGTTTTTTTCTGCTGTGAACAAAAAAAAATTGTGGGGTTTAAATAGAAAATCTCTTTTATTTCTTATTTTTTTTCAATTTGGGGTGTATTTAAGGGTAGTTTGGAAAGATAGTGAGGTTTTCTTAGAAATTATGAAAATTTAAATTAAAAGATGGGGTGAACTTAGAACATGGGGTGAACTAAGAGAAGTGTGGGGTAAATAGAAAATCTCATTAAAAATAGAAAGAAAAAAAAAAGCCCTAACTTGACCAACTCCCAAGTTAACGTGTGTAGCAATTTTTTTTTTCCCTTTCTTCAAACCTCACAATCTCTTCTATTTCCCCTATCAACACCAACAACCAAAAATATATATTCTCTTCCCATATGTCCTAGCTCAATTTCATGGGTGATTTTGTTGGAAATATTATATAATTATACTTATAAAATTCATATAGAATCAATTAAATAAATAAAAACCCAAAAACACATCAATCATGCACAATAATTAATACAATAAATACATAGGAAAAGGGTTAGGAACATCTAGCATATGATGTCAAGAGAGGCACGTAGTCGCTGTCTTAAAGCCGTAAACGCCTCCTTACGTTCATGTTATAACGGCCGTCTACAACTTCAAGATACAACCCTTGAAACTCACAGGATGTCTAATTCATTAAGCACGATCACGACAGAAAAGGTAGTGTTTATCGGATTGCCCATTAGATTGATGAGAGAAAGAAAGGACAATAGGGAAACATAATACTAGAAGACATGAGGGACAATAGAACGTACACTGGTTTGTCAAGAGTTTCTATTTTATAGAACTCTATGTACCTGTTATGTAAGAGATATGAATTTTAATTTAACCCTTTATTTAAAAGGTTATGACAATAAATTTAAGGAAAATATTTCCCTCCTTACCCATAAGGCGAAACTCCTCTTTACCTTCTATTGTGGCTCAACCATAAAGTGACATGTGCCCCCTATTTCAAAGCAAAAAAAAAAGAGTAAAAGTTTTTGCTCTAAGGATTGTTGCCTTAAGAGCAATTTTTGCTCTAAGTAACCATCCAACAAGACTTGGACCAAAACTGCACCTCCTAAATTTGTATTGTCCAAGCTGCTTGGTATGCTAACCAAGTCTGCAAGGAGCATCAGCCATGAATCCACATGTATGGCAAAGGAATTACTCTTATGGAACCACCCTCCCCATCTGCAATAATGGATACATGGAAGATAAATTTCTTTTTCTTTTTCTTTTTTCTGACAGAGAAAGAAA